GTATTTTATTTTTCGCAACTAATTTTGTTACAAACAAAGTGAGATTTCACCCGCATGCTTCCTGAATAATCTCGCGCTTGTGCACGCACCGTTTCATGTAGGCATTCTGAAGCACAAGCATACCAATCTCAGGCCTTTCGTGAATCGAGACTGAATCAGGTCTTTGTTCCGAAGTTGATAACAATCGGTAGCGACAAAAGCTCGTCACATTCCTTCGCTTTGTCTCGGCACATCGTTACATATTATCTTAAGACCAAAACGGCCCCATTATATTGTACCAATCGCGATGCGCTCTCGAAGTCGGTCCTTTCCTTAAGCCTTCTCTAGGTAATGGCTTCACCCTAATTTTCATTGTATCTTATCTCGAGAGAAATTAGCTCGAGGCTAGATCAAGTCGATACGTGATACGAGCATCAGCATCAAATTGCATAAAATATATATCTCTGCCATAATAGTATACTACGAGTTGCTAATAAGTTTAACAATTGCGCTTTTTTTCAGTGGTAAAGTTGAAAGATCACACGTCCAATGCATCTGGCCGTGTACATTGTTTCCGGATGCCAATGTTCATTTAACGCAGTTGAAATAACTGCGGCTTGGTTATAACGGTCCCGACAAAATGAGAAATTCCGGCAAGTTTAATGAAAGTATTTAACAGGTAAAATTGCTGTCGTGTACCGGCATGGTGTCGCTTGCAGCCGTGAGCGTAACATGCACTTTGGAAAATTGAAGGCATGGTCGAACGATCGTTAAAAGTGTTTTTAAATTGTTAATAACTTTTACTCTTATGATATATACGACAAATCTCTTTTACTTTTCTTATAACGGTTTTTTAATATTTAACATCATAACACTTAATGCTCTTTTTTTTAAACATTTGTGGCATCACGGGCGTCTTCATACATTTTTTACGTGCTGTTATGGATTAATAAAGTTTCAAGAACGAGCCAATTACTAATTAACTGCCCGCAGCGGTACCGATTGCGTATATAAAAGTTTTTTAACTACGTCCATACAATGGCGGCTCTGGGAATCGCCATTGCGCGAACGGTGACCCTCCCGGGCTTTTTTCCTCTCCCGATATTTCCTCGTCGCTTCATAAAGACGCATTAGAGGCGAAATTAAAACCCGCCGCGAAGCGGTTTCGTTAGTCGCTCGTTTTGCATTGTTCTCAATTTTCATTAGCCGGCCACTTTAGTAAGCAGAAAATTTTGTTAGCTTTTATAGTTAAACCGCTCGCTTGTCGGATCGACAAATTGTATCAATTTTATCGAACAACAGTTACGATAACAAGATCGAGTGTTTCTCCTTTCTCGGAGATTTCGAATCTCAGCAGAATCTTTTTTTAACAATATGTAATATTATTAGTTCGATTTAATTTGAATTTTACTTTGGCTGTCTTTCGTTGAGAGATTAAAAAGTCCAAAGTTACTGACATTGTTAATGGATACTGTCACACGTTGGAAACGAAGTTGAATAGACGCGCCGACACAAAATAATTTCATAAGCTAGATATTTATAAATCCTACGCTCTCGTCGCGGAGTCGCTTTTTTATGCCAACGGTAGTTAATATCTCGTTCTAGAAAAAAGTGAGGATTGCTCCCTCTCGAACGCTATATTTCAAGCACTGCCGTAGTCATAAACCTTATAAAAGTGAACCATTCTAAAAAGTGAATGACCCAGCAATTCAACTATATAACTCTTATTTCGTTCATCGCCCGTCCTACATACTCTGGCTTGACTATTAGTAAATATATACCACGTATTTTTTCTCTTGTAGAATATTTTTACGTTGGTAATAAAAAGAAGATATATATATATATATAGAAGGAATTATAACGGCTTGGTGGCAATTTCGAAAGTTGAATGTTCATAAATATCGAGTGCAGCGGAACATTTCTCCCGGTTTCAGCCATCATCTTTCTTAATTCATCGCCGTAGCTCCTATCGAAAATCGATCGTTCTATATGAGACATGCAAATTACGATCGAGGCCGGCATAGAGACTATTTACTTCATGACTATTTATTGCTCCTGTACGTATTTCTGTGAGTATTTCTGAAAACTCTGGAATGTGAAAATGTTGCGATTAAATTTCCCACATGCGACTCCTCAAGTATAAATTATGTGATGTGTCTAACGAATGTGAAATGTGAAAGCTCAAGAGCAAAAGTCCTCCATCGTTATGAATTGTGGAAATATTATTTTCATATGACGCCGATTATTATAAACGATAAGAAACCCATCTTAGAGTATCCTCGTCAAAGCTTGAAAGAATCGCGGAAATCTTTCCAATATCTTCAATTCCAATAATTTTATCGAAATCTTTTCATATAAATCTGATCGTAACTGTCGCACACAAAAGAGACATTTTTCTCTCTTTGAGAATAGATGTTCCTTTATATCAATAGAATTTTTCAAACTAATATATCTTCATAGAATCTAAAGAGATACTTTAAAGTTGGCATTTAAATCTTTTATCAGAATGAAACGATTGCTTGACCATCTTCCTCGCAATAAAATGTCACTTGTTCACCGTACTTTTCATTATTTTATAATATTTTTCGGGAAAAACAGCTTTATTAACCCTTTTGTTAATGCATGAAATATCGGGATAGCTATATTGAATTTTAAATAGTAATAACTTTTATATTTTTGTGCAAGTTTTTTAAGACGCCTCAAAAACTCTTCTTCAATAACAAAGAATAGTTTTGCTTCACAAACTTTATCTTGTTTTTACTCTACATTTTTAAGAAACCTTGTGAAATACGATAATGAAAGGGTAAAAAATTATGCATTGACAGAAAGGTAAAAAAATATCTAAAAATATACAGAGAAAGTCATGAAAGTTTTCATCCGCTGACTCACCTGTTCGTAATTTCGGATAAAATCGCGGAGTTCACGCTCTTTGTCCTCGAGGGTGCCATACAGCGCCTTCATCTGATTGAGAAGATCGAACTTCTCCGCTTTGAGACGCTTCCGATCGGCCTTCAAGGCCTGGAGTGCTTCCTTCGCGTGCTGCAATTCCATTTCTAGAGCGACAAAGCGCGCCTCTTCCTCCATTGCGGCATCCTCGGCACCGACCTCGCCACGCGCTGCACCGCTCAGCAACAACCTTCTCAACCTCGCGACCTCGGCTACCAAGCGTTCGTTCTCCAGTCGCAATCTTCTGGCACTGGCTAGCTCCGCGTGTCCACCGCCATGAATATTGGATAGTCTAGACGCCACCACCGGGTCGCCGATTCCTACAGAAAAAAATAATCATTTAAAAATATAATTAATTCATATACATATTTTATGATCAATATACAAAAAAATGGTTTTGTTGGACTATAAAAATAATTATGCAGGATACTCAATTTGATTGTTAAAATGTCAAAACTTTTTGCAGCATTGTTCATCATGCTTGAGTTACGTAACTATTTTGTCAGTCCGACAAAAATTATTTTCAGAGAGAGAGAGAGAGAGAGAGAGAGAGAGAGAGAGAGAGAGAGTATATTTAGATTTACCTAAATTATTATAGATATTTCAACAAAATCGCTTTTTCCATATATGAATTTAATCTAAACGAAATTAGATTCTGTTATATAAAAGTTATA